TGTGGCCTCAAGGAAAATTCTTTTTTTCTAGTGAGGCAGTCAGTGTACTAAAGGGCAGAAGCCTGGGCCTGAGGCCATGTGATCCCTGACTAGGTTAGAGAAGGTATGAGGAGAATCATCAGAGTCAAGTGAAGAGATGAAAACCAGTCAGGTGCTCAGAGCACTCAGAGTAAAGAAAGGAATGGAATGAGATGTCAACTAGCAGAGTCTGGAGGTCGAGCTTTAGATTCTCAGAGCTCAGGGTCAGAGGGTGCAGTGCTGACAGATTCTTACACTGCTGCTCTAAGGCTAGGGTGAACGCACTGCTGTTATGATCTCGGAGCTTTTGAGGAGGTCTTGTTTTTTGTTTTAGGAGGAAACTCAGGAGATGGCAGTGATTTATTAGATGTTTTAGGACCAAAGATCTCATTGACTGGGATGGAGAAAAGTACGACGTCTTTAGAGTGACCATGGGGACTGAGGTCCCCAAGGTCTGGACTCTTGTAGAATTCAGAGGAGAGGCAGTGTTTGAATCCCAGTTTCATCTCTCCTTTCTGGGATTTTCCCAGTTTACGACAAAATGTTTGGTAAGCACCTTCTAGTGGGATTTCTTTGTCTTGTTTATTACAATACTAAAATAGAAGAAGTACAAAGAAAAGATAACCCCTTAATATTTTTTTTGTAATTCAGGTTGAGTATCTCTTATCTGAAATGCTTGGAACAACAAGTGTTTTGGATATTAGATTTTTTTAAATTAGGGGAACATTTGTATTACATACTCACATGTTTAGCACCCCAATCCAAAAATCTGAAGTCCAAAATGCTCCTTTCCTTTGAGTGTCATGTTGGTGCTCAAAAAGTTTTGGATTTTGTAGCATTTCGGATTTCAAAGTTCTGAATTAGGGATGCTCACCCTGCACTAATATAATACAAATTAACATTTACTTGGTGTTTACTAGAGTTCAGACCCTGTACTGTGTGTGGGTATATGTGTGTATATGTACATATACAGGCATATCTCATTTTACTGTGCTTCGCAGATAATGCATTTTTTACAAATTGAAGGTTTGTGGCAAATGTGCATCGAGCAAGTCTATTGGCACCATTTTTCCAACAGAAATGTGCTCACTTCCTATCTGTCACACTTTGATCATTCTCATAATATTTCAAACATTTTTATTATTATTATACAGATTATGGTGATCTGCGATCAGGGATCTTTGATGTTACCACTATAATTGTTTTGGGGTGCCATAAATCATGCCCATATAAAGATGGCAAACTTAATCGATAAGTGTTATGTGTTCTGACTGTTTCACTGACTGACTGTTCCCCCATCTCTCTCCTTCTCCTGGGGCCTCCTTATTCCAAGACATGACAATATTGAAATTAGGCCAATTAATAACCCTAAAATGGCCTCTGTTGATGTGAAAGGAAGAGTAGCACACCTCTCACTTTAAATCGAAAGCTAGAAATGACTAAGCTTACTGAATGAAAAAGGCATGCTGAAAACCTTTAGTGGTCTGGATAGAAGATCAAACCAGGCACATTTCCTTAAGCCAAAGCCTAACCCAGGGCAAGGCTCTCAACATCCAGGCAAGATTCTCCAACAGCACAGTGATTATAACTTGCTGCAGGCCCAGATGACTGTTAGCACTTTTTGTCAAAAATTTTTAAATTAAGGTATATGCATTGTGTTTTTTAGACATAATGCTATCGCACAGTTAAAAGACTACAGTATAGTGTAAATATAACTTTTATATGCACTGGGAAACCAAAAAATTCATGTGACTCTCTTTATTGCAATATTCACTTTATTGTGGTGGTCTGGAATCGAACCCGCAGTATCTCTGAGGCATGCCTTGTATACATACACATACACAGACACATCAATCATGGTATTTAACTTTCTCAAATGCTTTATGAGTTAAGCATAGCTGTGCACAGTTTACAGACTGAAGAAAATGAACACAGAATATATAATTTGCCCAAAGAAGCAAATCAGATCTTCATAATTTTACATGATGGCTAATCGAAAATATAATTTTGAGAGAAAAAGGAAAAATTAATAGATCATGTTCAGGACATACTGTATATCTAAAATTTAAACAATTTAAAGAATTTAAAACAATATATGTGAGACAGACATATATTAAGTATATGAAAGGTACACTGGAAAGACATATATTCAATACATAAGTATGAATGGTGGGAACAGATGAGATTGGCAATGAGGGAAAAACTGGACTAAGAAGAAAAGTAGGGATTGCCCTAATGATAATGTGCCATGAATTAAGAAGATGACTAATCATCTCAATCAAATACAGAGCAGTTATGCACTTAAGGCCCAGTCACTACTGCCCCCCAAAACATGTCCAAATTACAGAGGCTAGCAAATGTCTGAGCCGGCATTCAAGCTGAGGTCTATCTGACCTCAAAGCCCATAGATGCTGTTAATCTATTCTGCCAGATCAGGCAGCAATTATCTTTTGGAGGAGAGGCTATTTTAAAAGATGAACCAAATTTCTAAACGTGGACCCTTAGAAACACTACAAAGTTATTTGAGAACTATAGCACAAGAACAGAATTAGAGATAATCCAACACAATGTTTCCTTTTAAAAAACAATATAGTAATGTTATTGTAGTATTTATGAGTTTTGAATCCTTTAAACCTATTTATGATGCTCCTGTATTGTACAGGACCAAATACATACCATGGATGAACATCATCTTGGGACAGTCTTTTAGCACTAGATCTGTGATTCCACAATTGGTCATAGTGACTCCAACAAGATTTTTGGATTTTAATGTAAGAACCTATAAGGAGAAAAATTAAAAAGTTATATGTGAATGTATCTTTCTGTTCTTTGTTGCTTTTTAAGCTTAAATGTTTTCACTGGTACAACTGAGAAGCAGGTGTTACCAATTTCTTCTCTTTGGGACAAGGAAACTACATAAAGATAGAAACTTTAGTTCATTTGCATTATTCAAGAACTGAACTGGACTGTGATAAAGACAAATGAGGGTTTTTCCCTTTACCTGCACGTGGTCATCCTCAATCACAGGGTCACTGGTACTGGTGGATTTATCTGCTGTCCGTTTCCGTTTCATGGCATGACGTGGCTTAGTTTTGGCAACTTCTAGAAAAGGCAAAAAGAAAATCCAAATTTTAGCCTTGCTTTCTTTCCTTCAAACATATTTAGTTGCATACTATAAACTCTATCAAGGCAATTCCCAAATCTACAACTTGGTTCCCCATGGAATACAAGTTAAATCACTATTTCCAATGGACCGTTTCAAAACAGAATCACTCTCCACTATCTCAAATGTATCTACATCGAACATAACACCCTTTTCATACCTAACCCATTCTAATCAACATGCTTGTCTTTGGTCTGACTCACCCCATCCTAAATACTATTGGTGGATGTAACTCATGACTTTCCTGCTAAAAAGACTTATTATTCACTGCTTATTATTGACTGCTGCACTAAGAATATGTTTCAATGCCTGACATTTGGAGCTATGCTCTAGCTCTACCTGTTCTCAATTTTATCCCATACCATATCCTAGTCATCTTCCACTGCCAATGTCTCTATAGCCATCAACTATTTTAGCTCCTTCCGCCCAAGACATCTTTTCTGGCTTGACTTTTTGAAATACTATCCATTAGTGAAAGGTCCAGTTCAAGCACTACCACCTGATCCCCAAACATTATATATTGTTCTGAAGTTCCTGTATACTTGTTTTGTCTCTCCATTTAAACTAAAAGCTCCTTAAAGGCAACAACACTGTCTTATTTCATCTTTGTTTCAATGTCAGCCACCGTTAATGAGCTAAAATGAACATTTATTGAATAAACTGGCACTCAACAAGAATGAATGCACCAAGGGTACATAAATAGAATAACAAATATTTACTGAGCGCTTACTGTGTGTCAGGCACTGTGGGAAGGGTTTTAATTATATTAGCTTATTTATACTTTATTATAGCTCTGAGATAAATCTGTAATTCTCCACATTTTACATATTAGGAAACTGAGGCATGGGAAGATAAAAGAGCTTGCCACGGTGTTAAATGCAAACCAGGAGTCAAACCTAGGAAATCTGGCACCAGTCACTAAGCTAGAAAACCAGCAATCTTTTATCTGTCAAACCCCGGCTAGTACATCCCTAACTTATTTACTAGCATTGTTCTAATACAATATACTTCAATTATAAAAGCAAGTATTATCTTGATTTTATTTAAAAACAAGTTCTAAATTCATACCTAAAACTTAATAAGCACATATATATTTTAAGAAAATGCATTAAAAGTCCTTGTCCTCACTTTTGATACTTAATCAACTGTAGGATAGCACGCATTGAATGAAATACAGTTGATCTTAATGAATTAAATACCCACCATACTGCTCTAGATACCACTGCTAATTACAAACACTCCACTTGCTAATTCTGCAACCTCAAACATGAAAGAAAGATAGGGAAATGAGGTACAAATACCGCAAATTCCCAAAAGCTTGGGCTTAGATGGGAACTCTAGAGATCTAGTCTAAGAAACTTTTCTCCACCATTTGGAATCTTTGTGAAATTCTACTAAGCAAAACAAATGAAAGCGACTGCTTTGGTTGAAGGTGGTGGGGTGGTGGTGGTGAAGAGCCCAAGAGCTCTACCCATCAAACTTCCTCCAAAGGACCCTGAAACCAAGCAAAATCCTAGGGTTCCAAAAAACATAAACTCTAGGCAACCCAAATACAGGCATTCTCCCATAGCATCCTGAAGGAACTTCATGCAAAATCTAATCACCTTCATCGACCTAGAACCTTCTGAAAGCAGCACATTTCACCTGATAACCAAAATTCACACACCTGTTACAACCTCTATTAGGTCCTGGTTCCCTCTCCCAGTACCAGAAAAATAAAAACAAGAAACAGTCTATTGCCTCTCCTCTGTGACAATGTTCTATTAATAATAAGGGTCATCTATTACAGCATTCTTCTTTTATGATCTAATTTTTGAACTTCTGACCTTCCTACAGTGTTCTCACCTTCCCTGTAATCAATCAGAATATGGGGTTCAAAGTTAAATTTCTTGCTCTCCAGCATACCCAAACTGGTGGTTTACATTTTTTAAGAAAACTGAGTCACACGTTATATGCAGAAGACCTTGAAAAACAAAGGCTTCCCAATGTAAAAGGCAAACAGTTGTGTTTGTTGTTATTCTCTATGCTTCCCTCTATGTTTTAGGACAACTAATTTTATTTAGGGACAATTCTTAGTGGTTCACGATTATTAACTGAGCCTCATACCATGTATAAAATATGGTGCCAGAAGCTGGGAATATTATGGTGAAAAAGCAGACACCATCCCTGCCCTCATGGAGCTCATAGTCTACTGGAAAGACAGTAAAACATAGAATTATAATATAGTGTGTTCATATTAATGTTGAAGATGCTACAGAAACAGAGACAAGCAGATCAATCCAGTCTTGGGGGTGGAGGGAGTGTCAGGAAAAGAGTTTAATATTTATGAGAACTATATTAATCTTTTTTTGTTGTTCTTTTTGTTTTTGAGACAGAGTCTCACTTTCTCGCCTGGGATAGAGTATCATGGCGTCAGCCTAGCTCACAGCAACCTCAAACTCCTTAGCTCAAGTGATCCTCCTGCCCCATCCTCCCAAGTAGCTGGGACTACAGGCGAGTGCGAACACGCCCGGCTAATTTTTTGTATTTTTAGTAGAGACAGGGGTCTCACTTTTGCTCAGGCTGGTCTCGAACTCCTGACCTCAAGCGATCCTCCTGCCTTAGCCTCCCAGAGTGCTCGGATTACAGGTGTGAGCCATCATGACTGGTCAAAAACTATATTAATCTTAAATGCTATTCTTTGACATCCCAGTTAATTATTTCTGTGATATTTACTTTATAAATTATTATACAGTGAGGATAAAAACAACTTAGAGGTGTTTATTTCCAAAGTAGGAATTCACAAATAATTACGTTCTAGTTTCTAACATGGCTTTAACATTCTACAAGGTGACAAATCAACCAAATAAAAAGCTCAAATGTTACTTTTTTTTAACTGCTTTAAAAAATCCATAACAATCAAGTGAGTTCCTTTATTAGTCTGGATTTCTCTAAAATTTTTAAAGCAGAATGGCAAATAGGTATCAAAATCATGCTAGATTAAAAATAATTTGTAAGCCACCCACATAATTTGTTGTTGTTTCAAAAAGGAACCCGGTTAATATTAAAACCAGTCCTTTGACATTTCCTCAGAAAAACTGTTATTGAGAGTAAACGGACATTTGTATGGTGCTTAAAAAATATTAAGAAATAATTTACCTACTATAAACACATGAGTTATAGACATTAGAAGTCTTCTCAAATTGAAAAAAAAATCACAAGATAATAAATATAACAGTAAAAAGTACAACATAAATGAGATTTTTTTCTTTTTTTTTAAATCCAAGGAATTATTTAACCTCAGAAAAAGTTCTAGTTATGAAATAGGTCAGAGTGAAATGGTAAAGGGGCTAAGGAGAACACAAGGCAAAAAATGAAAACTTGAAAACCCCAAAGTGAATATGAAGGATCAATATTAAAACAACAACACAAAACTATAACTTTACCTAGAGAAATAAGGCAAATAAAATGGGAGACACAACAGTCCCTAAACAGGAAGACTCGGCTATAAAAATGACAATTTTCTTTTCAATTACCAATTTAATGTACTTCAAAACAAAAACCAACAAGATTTGTTTTTGGAACTTGATAAAATTACTACAAAGCACATCTATGAAGACACAAGACACATGCATATCTAGGCAAGGAAATTTTGAAAAATAATGATGAAAGAGGACAGAACACTGGGATAGAATAGAAGGCTCAGAGATAAACCTAAGTATAACTAAGAATTTAGTACATGATAAAAGAGCATTTCAAAATAATAGCATGAGAATGGATGTCAATAAACAGCACTAAAACCTGCTGACAACTTGAAATAAAAACATAAAGTCAGTTCCACAGATTAAAATAAAACTTCCACTGAATTAAAGAACTTTTAAATAAATGAATAAAGAAATGGGAAGATGTGAACATTTATCTGAACCAAGTGTAGGGAGGAAGGCCTTTCACAGCATAAAAATAAAGAACTCATGAAGGAAAACACGTAAATCTGACTTTACAAATATGAAAAAACATGCAACAAAAGGTATTGCAGCGGGGAGTTACTGTATAATGGGTACAGAATTTCAGTTTGGAATGACGAAAAAGTTCAGATGGTTGGTGGTGACAGCTGCACAACAATATGAATGTACCACTAAATTGTACACTATAAAATGGTAAACTTTATATAATGTAAATTTTACCACAATTAAAAAAATATCATAAAACATCATTTAAAACTCAAGCTGGGAAAAGTATCTTTACCAAATGGCAGAACTAGTATTTGCAGGGCACAAACTCTCACTTTAGGCCAGGCACAGTGGCTCATGTCTGTAACCCCAGGACTTTCAGACGCCAAAGCAGGAAAATTGCTTGAGGTCAGGAGTTTGAGACCAGCCTGGCCAACACAGCAAGATCTCATCTCTACAAAAAATTAAAAAATTAGCCAGGCATGGTAGCGTGTGCCTGTAGTGCCAGCTATTGGGAGGCTGAGGCGGGAGGATTGCTTGAGCCCAAGAATTTGAGGTTGCAGCGAGCTATGAGGACGCCACTGCACTTTAGCCCATGCAGCAGGGCAAGACCCCATCTCAAAAAAACAAAACCCAAAACATCCCCAAAAATAAACCTCATATACTTTAATATGAGTTTATGTTACTATGATAATTAGCACATAATTAAAATCTCATATTTATCTCACAAAAGCGTATTTTTATTAGTTTAACTCCATATGATTCGACAAGCTCTAGGTAGTACGAAAAAAAGCACTGACTCTGTCTACGTTTTGGAGCTGATTTTAAGATTATAAAATTGAGGGACACTTGGAGAAATTTAAAATACATTATTATTCACTGTCAAGTGGTTTTAGGCAGAAGGGGCTACTTAAAAATAAGGTCAGAAATAGAAACAGAATTACGATTAAGAAATGTGCTTACCCTCACTTAACCTAATGCCTTGGCTATATATTATAAATATTAATGAAATTAAATATATATATGTATGTTTTGGTATTTTCAACAAAGTAATTCTCAGAGGAACTATTACTTACCTGCTCACTTCCTGACAAACCTTCCTGGGAGCAAAACTGATTTCTGAAAAAACGACTCAGTACTGCAGAAGCAGACACAGAGGCAGGAAGCTGCGCTATGTTACCCCAGCCCTAGCAATTTAAGGTCTTTACCTTTTGGCTAAGGTTTAAAACTTTCCTAAGTTAAGGCTTCCCCGAGTGTGAAATGGAAGCAGAGTTCATCTACAGGGACTCAGACAATAGAATGAGTGTTATATTTAAGGTAAATACACACGGTGATATTTTTCTTAAAACCTGAACTACTTGAGTTTTCTAGGTTGGATGTTTTACAAACTGTTTAACAACCCCACCCACCAAACAATTGCTGAAAATTAGTTCAAAATCTGTATGACCCACAGAACCCCAAAACAGAATTTGCTAAATTTACTTTTTATAAGAAAACTCATGAAATAAGTTCATGCTTTTCTCCAGCCCTAAACTGCAGTTGCTAATCCTGGGAGCATTGTCATACCTGACTCAGATACCAGCGGTACATGGGACAGTCTGCTCCTGGCCCTGGTTAGGGGCCTCCGAGGATAGTCTTCATTAGACTGCACGTCACAACTCTCAGGCTGGGAGCTCCCCCTCCTGTCCTCACCTGTAGCCCCAGAGCCACTCCCATTAGTCCTCTCATCATGTGCTGGGCCTGAAGACCCCCCTTGTGGCAGAGTCCTAAAGGAAAAGGCGGATCTCGTACCATCCGGGCCATTCACAACACAGGCTCGGCTGGTTGAAGGACGTTCCTCATCAGAACACCTGCTAGTTCTCCTTTGGGATTCCTGGGGCCTGTGACAGCAGCATCTGGGGCAGACAGAACTTTCTGCATCTCCCTCCTCCATGGCCTCAGAGTCCTCTGACCCACCGGGGGAGCAGACACACTGCCTGGACACATCCACTTCTGTAGGGCTAGGCTCGGAAGAGCCGCCGCTGTTCACCGTCCTTACAAAGTCGGGGCTTTGAGAAGCAGTGCTGTGTGAGCTGGAGTTTCCCACTGTGCTGGCGGTGGTGCTGCTGCAGCTGGGATAAACATCCTTGTTTTTTTTCTTTTCAGGAATATCCCTAGCTGCTTTCATATCGGCTTTGATCTGCTCACTGGTGACCTGACAGCCTTTCTCACAGCTGCTTTCCTCGAGGGGAAACTGCTTCGACTGGCCCATCTGATGGGAGTTGTACCTCTTTCGAAGTGGAGTCTTGCCTTTTCCACTTACTGCTTATAGAAAAAGAAGAACGGCCCGAGGAAAAGAAAAGATTTCAGTACAAATTATGGACAAAAGGCAAGGGTAAATTTGGAACAGGAAACAATGTACACTAATTTTCCTAAAGCATAACTGACGACATCACGGAGCTGTTCAAAAATTCTCTATGGCTGCCTAGTGCCCACCTGGTTTATAGTCCTTAGCTCAGCCTTCAAGGCTCTCCAGGATCTGATTCCAAAATACCTTTCCATTTTATCCCCTCTTCATTCATTCTATACCCCATCCCCAACTTTTCTCTCAATATACCCCTGTATTACTGCCTCAGGGCCTTTGTTCTCACCCCAAGTCGTCAGCCCTGGACCTCTGTTCAATTTCGCCTGCACCCCACCCTGAAGCCACAGTACTATCTGCCCTGTAATACTGCCACCTGTGCTTTCGATCTGACTCTTCAACTAGACTGGAAGTTCCATAAAGAAAGACAGACTGTGACTCACTCATCTCTGCTACCTCACAGTGCCTAACACAGCACCTGGGGCACAGTAAGGCTCAATGAATATATGTATATAAACGAATAAACAAAGTTTTGTCTGGCTGACAGAGGATCTAGTTGCTAAATTTAGAAACTGAACTTTCTGGGAAACATTAGGTTAGTCAGCTAGTCACAGTACTTTTCCTAAATTTCAGTTTCCATAAAAGCTCCTTTCAAACGCAGTGTAAAGTTATCTGCATTTCTTAAAAGAAATAAATTAAAAATCGAATAATCAGTCAATGATTAGTAAATTATTCCAAGTCCAAAGAATTGAACTTTCCATACACAGAAGTGTATATATATTTCAGGTACAATGTTAAATGTATACTGAACATTCAAACATTAAGGAGTAAAGGTACCCAAGGAAAAACGAGTGGACAATTTTTTAAAAATCCATCCTTTGCCAAAAGTGGTAAGCACATGGTTCTGAGACACAAAAGTGAAGGAAAGACAAGGAAGAAGTATGAACCTAAAAGTTAAGAGAATTCTAGATTCTTGGTGAGGCAAATGGCAGAGGCTGTTGCCTAGAATTAAAGGGAGACAAGGGATTATAAAAACATACTTTAAGACTCCCTCAAGCGCGAAACTAGCCACCAATATTGACTAAGCATAACTGGACAGATTATCAACTGGGGAATGGCTGTTTCTTCATTGCTGTGGATGACTTACTAGCCATGCTTTACATGAGGCACAGACCTCTTGCTAATTTCTGACACCCTCATGCCACGGCTATCTAAAGCCTCCACTGTGGATTCACAGTCCTTCCTTCTTCCCCTCCCTGAGCCCTCATTCCGTAACATTCTTGCTGTGCTGCACTCACCCACCATAGCACCACCCAGATTCCCCTCCTTACTTGGGCAACTGACTTCCTTGCTTCCTATCACATTTCATAAGGAATATGTGAACTGTACCATCAGTTGCAATAGGGACACATTAATAAAGGCCAAGTGTGTCAGTTCTGATAGTGACTCTCACTAACAGGTCAGAGTAAGACAATTTCTCACCTGACAATTCCTTGGACTGCACAGATTCTCCAGTTTTTTCTTCACGTTCAGAGTAACGCCGAGTACCATTCTTAGGAATCCAGACTTCTTGGAGTTCTAGACTGTCTTCCTCATCATCGCTCTCTGAATCATGAACAGTAATTGGGGTTGGTTTTACTACACGTTGAAGGCCACTGGGACCTAAGACAAAAAGCATAAGCCTAACAGTTACTTTTTTGTCCAAGAAATGCTCTCATGCAAAGTACTATTCCTAGGGATCTAGAATCACAGATATTTTTTGGCTATGTAGCCTCCCTTAGCATTCATTTTAATGGAATATACACTTAGGTGAGATGAGATACTGTGAAAGCACTTTAAGGCATTATGTCAACGTTAAGTATGATTAATATGTCAACCAACTATATACATTTCTAAAGGCAAATTAAAATAGAAGATCATATGGCATCCTCCTATAGGACCTTTGCTATTTAAAAAGTAGCACAAATCATTCTAAAAATAATCAAAATAAATCTTAATAATAATTTTAAAACTAGGCTACATATCGTTCCAATTTACAAATGTATGAGCCAAGGCAAAGCAAATGAAGATGAACCTCACAAACTTATGGGACTGGTGAGCAACTCTGCATTTGTTGAGTATAGGTCTATTTCATGAGATGTAGGAGATACATTCTTGAAGGCTAAAGGCATGTTACATTTTGTTTGAGTACATATGTAAAAAATGCTTTATCTACCTGGCAGCACAGCTTTTAAACCTTTAGCTTTATGACCGAGTTCTCCCTGACCAGTGACTAATATTAGCTCTATCAATAAAATGTAAGCTCCAAGGAACCTTGCCTGTCTTTCTCCTGTTACATTACACAATGCCTGGCACAGAGTAAGTAGGCACTCAATAAATATTTGTTGAGTAAATGACTGCATCTGTAAGACACTTAAAACAAGGTAAAGACATTTTCAAAGACAACGTCTTTCCAATAAATCGGGAGTGAAAAAACTTGAGTTCTAATCTAAATTGTGTCCCTTGATCACTGGTTGAGTGGTACTGAGCATATCATTCACTTTTTTCATTCATTCATTCATTTATTTCAGAATATTATAGGAGTACAAATGCTTTGGTTACATATATTGCCTTTGTACCTCCCAAGTTGGAGCCACAAGAGTGCCCACCCCCCAGACATCACCTACCATACCCGTTAGGTGTGAATTCACCCAATACCTCCTCCCCCGACCTCCTGCCTGATGCCCTATGAATGTTACTTCCATATGTGCACATAGTGTTGATATCATTCACTTTTAAAAAAATAGTAGTTTCTCCATCTGTAAAGCAAAGGGTTGTACGTAATTTTTAAGGGCCTATGACTCTATAGCCTGCTGTAAGCCATCCAATGACATAAATTAAATCTTGGTCTGTTTACTGAAAAAAGTCAATGTCTCCGCTGCTCCTCCTCCCCTCTGAAATGAGGGTAGGGTACAAGCAGAAGATTTAATCAGGTCATTTATTTTCCCTGCAACAATTTGAGTGCTTTCTTTTTCTATATACATGGACACACACCTGTGGTTACATAGAATAAGCAGTTGTTGCTGTAGTCACAAATAATAAAAAACTTTAGTAAGATACACACACACACAATAAGGAGAATACCAATAATATATTATAGGCCTCAAAAATAAACAGCACACAGCAATAATATATTACAGGCCTCAAAAATAAACACCATACTTCATTAGCTGTAAGGTGAGAAAGCAATCCTTCTCAGGGTCCCATGTTCCTCATTACAGCCAGGCTCTAGTTTTCAGAAGGATACATATGGAAGAGTCACATGATTACCTGCTTGTTCCTCATCAACATCCACAGGAATAATTGCCTGACTGTGAGCTGGAGTATTGTTTCCACTCTCAGCCACCACCTCTCCATCTTCTGGCACTATGTCTTCCATCTCATTTAATGCTTAAAAATAAACACAAAGTAAAAACCAAGAGAGGTATAAAAAAACCACAATAGCAGCAAAACTGGAGCCCTGAGGACTGAACATCCCTGTTGATTACCAGGCCCGCTCTGAAAGAATAGCATGTAACTGTGCTTCATAGCAGAGACATTAACAAGAAGCGCCCAATTAGTCTACAGAAGAGAAAATCACAGATGGAAAAGGATTGCTTTGTGGAGAAAGTCCATCCAACTCACATTAAGTCATATAGTTAACAAAGAAACAAAGCAAAATATAATTAAGCTCAACAGACACCATTCAGATTAATGTCACTGAAATGTACAGTAGTGAGGTTTGAGATTTCATGGAGACAGTGGAATCTGCTCTGGTCTTCAACATACAACAGCACACTCCCCCTTATGGTTAGTCTCCCACTCTGAATTTTTGCCCAGCTCTATCCTGCAATATCTGGATTTCATTTAGTGCCAAAATGAGGGCTAATTTATTACTAGCTTCATTTGTGCAGCTGAGGAAATGGAGGCTTAGGGGTGTTAATAGTTTCTAGGATTTAAACCAAGGTGTTTCCGGAGCCTACTATACTACAGGCACTATAAGTAGGTGGGAAATTTATAGTTCCTTCTCTCAAGAGGACATACTCATTCTGACAGAGATGTTAGACACACAGAATAAGGTCAGAATATACTTGATAAGAGCTAGAACAGTCCAAAAGTGCAAGAGAAACAGATAAAAAAAAGTAGCAGCTAACTCTCCTGTTGGGTCAGGGAAAGGTTCACTGAAATAAGGTGACCTTTCATATACTTCCACACCAGGAAGAATGCAACGTTTTTCAGAAGAGTAGACCAGTGATAATAAAGCACAGGTGTTTGTTTGTGATAAGGATGTGAAGAGAAAATAAGCAGAAAAGGTAGCCTGGGCTCCAGATTGTGAAAAGCTTGGAAAGCCTTGCTAACAGGCTTAGACTTGTTTCCTATAAGCAAAGGGGAACTTCTACTACAAGGTTTTTATGCAGGGAACGGCATGAACAGAAATACATTCATATATCTACGTGATAAGATTTTCAAAAACTGCTGAGCAATTGCTTTTAGGTTGCCAGAATAACCTACAGAAATACTTAATACAATACCCAAAAGTTGTTTAAACAATTTCTTTCATTGCATTCATCTGAATATTTATTGAGCACCTACTATAATGCGTTAGTATTCCTAGTATTCCTAGGTGATGAGCAACAGTAGTGATATTCAAGATCCCTACTCTCAGGAATTACCTAGTTGGGGGAGGAAAAAACTTTTTTGTTTTTTAAATAAAAACACCAGACAGTAATGTCTTATGTAACAAAATTTTAAAAGCACAATATGACAGAGAATGAATTGGTAGCTATCTAAGATCAGGTGGTAAGCAAAGACATCTCTGAGATTAACATTTAAGCTAAAACCTAAAAGCCAAGGAGCCAGCCATGAAAAGATGGAGGGAGCAGTCAGTGCAATGGTTGGTGCCAGCTGGCATGTTCAAGCATGGTGAGAAAGGTGGGGAGGAGCACAAGATGAGGACAGGCCAGATCATGTATCACTCTGTGACTTAATTCAAGAACCTAGATTTTATTCTAAGACAATGGGAAGCTACTGAAGAGTTTTAAGTAAGTGATCAACATTGTCTGGTTTATTTTAACAAGACTGCCGTGGCTGCTCCAAAAACTAATTTCAGTTGGTCAAGAGAGAAAACAGGGAGGCCAGTTTGAAAGCCAGTAAAACATTTAGGTGAAAAAGGGTGATATAATGCAATGCTAGTACAATGTGAAAGGAGAGATACAGGTATATTGGGGAGATGTTTTAGAGACATTCAACAAGATCTGCTAAAGGACTCAATGTTGCAGAAAGCAGGTAGGCAGTAAAGAAAGAATAATGTTTTGATTTTAGTCTCC